AAGTTGCCTCGCTTTTTCGCGAGGGTCAACTGAGGGTCCGCCGCTTCTACAAACAGCGATCAGCAAGTGGTTTTACATTCTGGGGACAATATGGGACAGTTCACGACTACGTTTATGTGAAGATTATAGAGTTGCTTAAACATAAGCCAGCTGTTTGTGAAAGCTAAAGAGACAAGAGCAACATTTAATAATAAATACAACACTCAAACATTCTGAAATATGTATAATCAACTTGAATGTATTCATACAGGCCATGTTGCCAGTGTAAGTGCTGTACACAGAGGGTAAAAACTGCTTTGTGGACCAAACCAACTACATCTAATACAACTTCTGGGCAGACCACACGGATAAATAGCAAAGTCGGAGAAACATTTTCCCTACTTTTCCCAACACAGTGCACTGACCACTGTCTCAAACAAAATGCCAGTACCAATCAATCTATCCGAGTCAAGGCTAAAAGGCTGAAGCTTCCCATCACAGAGGAGAAATGTGTCAGATACCACCACCATGTGAATGTCTGAGAGGGACTACTGACAGCTAAGTTGAAGGTTTTTCCCCATAACATGTGAATCCAGTAGATTTTCCAAAGCCAGAGTGGAGAATAGCTCGCCTTCTGTGCTTTGTTTTCCACTACAGAGAGTAACCCCTCACAAGTGGGCAGGATCAGCATGTGAATGTGTGTGTGTGTGTGTGTTTCTTTTTGTTTTTGTGTAAAGCCACTGCTTTAGAAAGGGCTTTGGTCCAAAGCATTCAAAGTACTACAATGAGAGCGTAAATATCTCTTGGAGGAAATAACACCGGAGCGCAGGAGATCTCGGATCTGGTCGGCGGGGGAAACAAAAATTGATCCGTAAATCCATACTCATGGTTAATAAACATGCTCATGTATTCATTATTCATGCACAAATGAGATATCCTCTGTATTGTGGACTGACTACCAGACTTTCATCCCACAGCTGGTCATTTCTGACATCACATCTTCTTGGGAAGTAACAAACAAACAACAACAACAAAAAAAAAAAAAACATATCAGCTCCACTGTAGTAGTTACAAAGGAAACCCAAAAAACAAAATGCCATCCCATAGCACGTCATGGAAAAGCCCCATTAGTCAGCATTTGAGATAACCAGGCTCTGTAACTGAAGCAGCTAAATGGATTGCAGCCATCAGTCATGATTATTTAAACATGTCCTTTGCCTTGTGGAGGCATTAAAATCCTTCCCGTTGCAAGGTTCTACATTCTCCCCAAAAAAATAAGGGGCTTGGGTTAAGCCTGTGTTTTCTGAGTGATGAAGAAGGAACGGGAAACCCGTTGGGATCCACCGTCTAGTACAAGTCATGTCCCAAATGTCTCCATCTGATACACGGGAGTGCTACAGGACCGGTTACATGTGGGGATGGACAGAGCTGAGGTTAATAGCATAAGCTTATCGGTGGAACATTACAAACCGCACGCTATGCCGCCGTTAAACCTGCTGCGAGTGATGCAAAAAAAACAACATCACATATCACATCCCAATGTCAACATGCATTATAGTAAAGTTCTTCTGGGCTTTTTCATTAAACAAGAACAAGAACACACACACACACAGAAAAAGCCAAACGCCGCCTCCTTGTCTTCGGAGTCATTTCACGTGATTGCTGAGCCCTGGGCACAGCTGTCAGAGAGATTTAAGTCTCTTGACTCGAATCCACTGACACACTCGGCTCTGCAGCTGGTAAGAAATCAGACCCAGTGAGACTGTGGATTGACCCAATCAATTTCTTCACCGCAGGAGTTGATGGTGCAATCCAAGCCCTGTATGTGGTGTGATGTGCCTTTACTGATGCACTTGAAGATACGAAAGAAACAAAAAAAACAAAAAAAAGAAACATGTCTACACATGTGCAGATGAATGGGGTGCATGTGTTTTAGTTTGGCTTGCAGCTCTCTTTTTTTTTTCTAATCATCACAACTGTTCCCCTTCCAACAAAACATTTCCATGTTTTCATTGAGTGATTCAAGTATCCTACACCCACCCCCCCACCCCAAACCCGCCTTCAGAGCAGGCAGGTCAGGCGTACATCTCCACCCACTGCTGAGAAAGCACTGGGGGGGGTGAGAGTGGCGAGACGAGAGGACGGATCATAATGGTCGGCCAATTATCAGTTAGTGAGGGGGGCCGGGGGGCCGGGAGGAACGGGAGATTATGTGGAGAATGGATCAATACAGCACTCAGTTTCTAATGAGGGGAAGAATTGGTCCGAGTCAAGCAGGTGAAAATCCGGCCCTGCCTTGGGTGGCCCTTTTCTGTCGGGGGTGGTACCAGGTCCCTGGTGTGATGATGCAGTGGCGCCCCTACTGGGGAACGGCTGCTATGACATCAGAATGTACAGTGGGGGAAATAAGTATTTGACCCCTTGCTGATTTTGCAGGTTTGCCCACTTACAAAGAATGCAACGATCTATAACTTTAATCGTATGTACATTCTAACAGTGAAAGACAGAATCCCAAAGAAAATTCCAGAAAATCACATCATATGAATTTATAAAAATTGATAACCATCTGGTGAGGAAAAATAAGCATTCTTTGTAAGTGGGCAAACCTACAAAAGCAGCAAGGGGTCAAATACTTATTTCCCCCACTGTATATCTACCAAACGTCACAACATTTACTGCATTTTTTGGGGGGGTGGGGGGAATTTCCATTGCTTGCATGCTTTTCTGATCTTCCCACTTTCTCTGAATGTGACATACATCGGTTGGGAGAGATTCAAAGGAGCTGGAGGGGTAATGTCCGGTCACTTTCACCCACAGCTGCCAGCACAGGACAGCGAATCCCACTCCTCACCCCCCCCCGCCTTGCCCAGCAGCACAGCTATGCGCTACCACGCACAAACACAACATGCCGCCTTCTCCCGAGACACGAAGCTGGATTAAAAGGTTAAACGGCTGATACTGTCACAGATAAAGGTGCTAACCAACTGTTCTGCACAATCAGGAGGTATTTAGCACTGCTATTCCTCTCTGGTTGCTTCACTATTTCCTACATCTGCCTTGCTTTCTTTCTTTTTTTTTTTTCTGAGGGGCCTCGTGTGGGGTGGGGGTGTTATTTATGGCTGCTCTGTGCGAGTGGACACACACACACAGACACACAGACACACACACTCTTTCAGAGGATGAAAGGGCAGTCACACAGCCTGCAAACATGATTTTACAGCCTTGGGTGGAATGAGTGGTGGAGGAGAGAATGAGGACAGAGTACAAAAGGGGAAAGCCCTTAAATTTACAGGTCCCAGCAGTCAGAATGCAACCATGTAGCAGCACAGGTTTTTAAAGCTTTTCGGAAAGAAGACAATTGGCTGCGAGAGGAGAGATAGGCGAGTGAGAGAGCATGGAAAAACAAGTACAACATCCAAAAGAGAAGCACGGCTTTTTCCGTTGGTCTGTTTATTTTATAGCTACAAAGACTGTGAAATTTCCACATGTGATCCGTTTCAGTGTCTCAGAGATGGTAAACATGTGTGAGCAAACATCTGCACCAGAGTGTGCAGCTTTGCAGGATTTGGGGCATGTTGGTGCAAAGCGTAAAAAATCCCCCGTCTATAGACTTCACTGGTGGAACATCCCATTTCTACACCTTTATGAGTACTGTGTACAGTGTCTCTATTGTCTTGATATTGAAAAGTGGAAAAAAAATAATTGCCATGACACCTTTTTATCTTTACTATTTTTGATTTGTTTCTCTTTCTTTTCTAATTACACTTAAAATGAATTGATTAATACCATTAATGTGTGTTTTCATAGTGCAATTTTTTCATCCCTTGTCACGTTTAGCATTGTACAGTACATTACCACATCATGTCTCTTTAGGGTAAACAAACACTAATTAGCACCAGATGTTCTGGTTTGATTTCAACAAAAATAAATGATGTTAATAGTTGGATTATCAACTTGAAAAGTTGCAATTTGTGATCTTGGGAAAACAATTGGGTGTCAGGTTACAAAGGAAAATCAGTCTGAAACAGAAGGTAAAAACCCTCTTTGGAGCTCTTCAAGCAGCTAGTGGATTCCGACAACTTGGTTCTGGTCCAAACAGTCTTTCTGGGAGGCTTTACAGCCAAAGAGCATAGTTACTTCTGGGAAACTTGGAAGTGTAATAGCACATCGTTGCACAGGAGGGACTCACATCTACATGCAACCAGTCCAGCTATCACAGAACAGCTTGGCTGTATCCTCAGATTAGCATTACACAGCAAACAGTTACCGCCTCTGTAGCAGAGCTTCAAACGTCACATAATGAGCGCGTAGTTTTTTAGCATCGCTTCATTAGCACTGAAGATAATAGTTGTTGTTTTAGTTGTAAAACCAAATTCATTCAGAGCCCAAATCATTGCTCTTTATTGAAACGTATAGTTTATCGAGCGGCTGATCCTTCAATTTCCTGTCAATTGTTTCTGCCTGAGTGATAGCCTAAAATTGTTGAAAATAATCAGCTGGAAAAGAAAAACAAACGTCAACACAGGCTGTTTCACCTAAAGCTAGAACCAAAAGAACCCAGCAGATGAAGGTTAAACACTTAAGTTTGACATTGAATGGGAGGGAAACTATGTACAGATCTGATAATTTATTGGAGAGTGGGGTATTTTTTACTTGGTAAAAGTGCAGTTAATTGGACCAAATGGATGCAAAACCCAAGTAAACAGTTTATAGGTCTTGGGAGGCAGCAGCGGTCTTGCTGCCAATGGAGTGGAGCCACACTCTGCCACAGCACATGCTCAGAGTCCATCAAAAACTCTGGACAATGGCAGCTTTTACTCACAGTCCTGTTTTTTTTTTTCTTCTTCTCCTCTAAGGGCATTGTGAATAAAACATAAGTGACTGGTAGCAGGAGTTTAACAGTGCAATAAAAAGTTACATTTGTTTTTCTGCTGCTCTTCCTGTGGTGCATACTGTCTCCAGTGGGGGAAAACGGTCATCTGACCAGAATTTGTCAGCTTTAAGGTGCAGCCTGACCTCTGCTGGTGAGGAACAACACTGCATTAACCTAAATATGGTCATCTCAGTGACACGTACAGTTCACGAGACATGTGTTTGGTGAATCACACAGAGTTTTTAAGCACCTACCAGACAAATACCCCATAAATGATGTCACTGACCTGCTCTCTAAACTGCTCCTGAGAGAGGCAGTCGGTCATGTTGACGCAGCCCAACAGGCAGCCAGTGGGATAGTCTTTAGGGAACCTGGGCTCTGAAAAGGCAAAGAGTTAAAAAGAATGATCATTTAAAGACAGATGCTGTTAAACATTTATGAAGAATTACTAAATACTGCCTGTACTTCATAATGGTGCTCAGCTCTACACTGTTTATAATGATGTTGGACAGAGGCTGACCCAGGGCCAAATGTTGCAGCTTTAGGGGAAACTTTTCAATCAAAAGGCAAACTTACAGAAACAACACTAGTGCTTGTCATTTGCTTATTCAGTGTTATATAAATGTTTTAATAAGCAAAGTTCAAATACAGCAAAAACTGAACCATTGTTGCATCCCGTGTTGAAATTTGGGTTAGAATCTAAACAAAATGGCCATGAAATAGTAAGTAATGTACAGCCATGCTGTAATGTGTCTAAACTGGAGCCTTTTAGAAGGATCCATATTACGTTACTAATCCCGCGTCTACACCATAAAAACCACTGAGTCTTTTCAATTTTCAATTTATTCAACCAAACTATATTAAGCTTAGACAAATACGGCTTATTTTGGCAGGATAAAGGACTTGAATAAAAAAAAAAAAGATCTGTTTCAGTCGAACAGCTGATAAATCAGATAAATTACACTGATTTTCAGTTTGAAATATGATTAAACACTTACATATTTAAGCTACTTACGACTTAAACCCTGTAAGAAATGAGAGGAAAAGAAACTCCTTTGGTGGAGCTTTAATAACTAAGTTATCTGAAATGAGACAGCATCTATGTTCTGCGTTTGTAGGATTTCTTTATCAAAACAAAAGCATTGTTTAATCTTTGACTGTCAGTTGAAATCTAAAGGTTTGTTCCAATATCCACTTTACCCCTGTCATTAAAAGTAATTTATAACTATCTGAAACTTTAAAACAAATGTGTTTAACTGAACAAAACACATAATAAAAGGGTTTTTCTTTGATTCTTCAATAACTATAAAGCCTTAGATTCACATTCTACAACTCCAGAGTGTTTAAACCTCTGGATTAATTCCTGAGTGATAGATCTTCTCCGGTCTTGAGCCGGCGGCTGTATATGAACCGGTCAGCCGTCTCAGACCCCTCAATGGTTTTTATGGCACAGACGTGGGAGTAATAACGTAATATGGATCCTTCTGAACGGCTCCAGTTGGACACATTACACCATTTTGTTTAGATCAGGCCTCGTACCTCTCTTGTAGATGTGCCGGTACATGGCCTCCACCTCGGCCACCTCCTGAGGCGTCGGCTTCTTGGCGGCGGCGGCGATCCAGAGCCGCCCGCGGTGCGACGAGTACCAGCTCCGCCCCTCCACCCTGCAGGCAAAAGTCAAACTTCAACCGTCAGCCGGACGCCGCCCGCCTCAGACCGGGACGCCCGCGGGAGGCCGTCCCCACCGTTTGATGCCTCTGGTCAGCAGGGAGGCCCACGGCTGATGCATGCTGAGGCACCAGCCGCCGTCGGACATCTCCTGCAGCTCCTTGTCCTGAAGTCTGAGCCTGTGGCGCTCTTCCTCTCCCTTCTGCTCGCCCACGCCTTTGATCTGGGACCCGGGCCTCTTCTGCCTCTCGCTGCCTCCGACGCTCACCCACTAATAGAAACAGGCCGTGAGTGTCGGGGGATTTTTAAATAAAAAAAAAAAAAGATTTTGTTGGCTCTAGTGGCCTTTAATGACAGTAGCATGACAGGAAGGGGGGCAGAGATAGAGAGGGGGAGACCTGCGGGAAAAGGCCATGGGCTGGACTCGAACCCAGGCCGCCCGCTAATGAGGAGGTCCTCATAAATTGGTCCGCCCGCTGTAACCGTTAGGCTACGGCTGCGGCCCGGATTGAGGCATTTCTGCCGTCCACCGTCCACCGTCCTACCTCTGGAGGAGCCTGCACGATGTTTGGGTTGACCAGCTCTCCCAGGCTCTGCTTCACTCCTTTCCTGTCGGAATATCCTGGTGGCTGCGACTTTGTGTCGGTGCTCATAGCTTTGAGGGTCTCGTCCAGCCTGTGGGTTATTGGAAAATGTAAAAGCGGCGCCGCGTCTGGTCTTTTTACATTTCTTTTATTTTGAAACATGATATGGTTAAACAATGTTTACATTGAATGCTTCATAAACATGCATCATGTTTAAAAAAGGAGCAGGATGAAGCATAAGCTTCTTGAGCCCTACCCCTCAGTTACATGAGTCGTGGTGGTAAAGGACAATTATTTACAATAAGACAAACAGTATAACTTTTTATATATTATTCTTTTTTGTATTCATCAAAAATACTTTTCTTATATTCTTTTTTGAATTGCTGGATGCTATTACATTGTTTAATATTTTCAGGCAAGCTGTTCCAGAGCTTCACTCCGCTAATTGATTAACTGAAGGTTCGTTTTGTTGTTCAAACATACTTAGTTTTGAAATTTTATTTTCCTCTTAGATTATATTTTCCATCTCTATGAGTAAACAATTGTTGTATGTGTGCTGGAAGTAAGTTATTTCTTGCTTTATAAAGTCTTCAATTAGCCCAAAAGATCTCACGTCCCCCCTCTGTTCACTGAACTCCTAACCCTAACCCGTACCTCTACCCCCCACAGCTCTGTAGTCCCTCTACCTCTATCTCTATCTCACCACTGACTCTGATCAGTGTTTCTCCTCTGGATAGCTTATTGTCATAGTGATGAGAAATGGACTATTGTGTCTACTCTGTAAGTCGCTTTGGATAAAAGCGCCTGCTAAATGCCGAAACATAAACATTAAATGGAGCTAGGTAAATATTACACAACAGTTAACGTGTTATTTTTTCCTATTTTAATTTTTTTTTTGTTTTTTTTGTTGAACCTCTACACAAAACCAAAATTCTTGGTCTTAATGGCTAGCAGGAGACGGTAGCCAGACGGCCTTACTTGCTGTAGTACTCGTTCAGGTTGTTTCCCTCGTCGATCACTTGTCTGCCAGCGAAGTCCAGCGTGATCTTCCGGTCCTTGCGGGAGGCGTGGCGCAGCTCTCTCAGCTCCTCCTCCTTCTTCCTCAGTTTCTCCCTCTCGCCGGGGGACAGCCACTGATTGGACTCAGTGGCAAAGTAGTCCGATTCATCATCCAGGACCTGAGTTCTCCTCACACTGGAGTCATTTGACAAGGAAGTTATTACAGCTGCTTTTCGAGTCGTTTAAATGTCCGACACTGAACTGTAATCAAGGTGCTGGTCTGGACTTCTGTGTGATACCTGTTCCTGTCGTATTCCAGCAGCTTCTCTTTGTGCTGAACTGCTTTTTCCAACCCGGACTTGATTTTGGCCTCTTGGTGCGGGAGGAGCTCTCGTTCTCCACAATCTGTTATCAAAATAAGAACAGACTCACTGGTTAAAACTCCATCATTACGCCCTTTTCCTCCTGCACCTGTCTGAGTACTCTTTACTTCTTACCTGCCATAAGCTTTTTTCGGAGCTTCTGGCTTTTGTTGGAGTCTCGCTGAAGAACCTCCTGCTCCTCGCTTGTGCAAACCTGAGCCGAATAATAAGATGAGTACTGAACAGAAAACGAGCAGTATTCTCATTGAGAGGGCGGGATTAAAGCTCAGTACCAGGCTTCCGCAGAAGAGGCAGGGCCCGGAGCCCTCCTGCTCGCACACAATGCGCCCGCAGCTGATGCAGTTGTTGATCAGCTTGTGCTTTTGGGCAAGGCACTCGCAAGGGTGTCGACCTGGGAGCAAAACAGCCAGTCTGTCCTGGCCCTCTTTAGCATAGAGATTGACAAACTTATTCTTCTTCTTTGATGAAGAGGCGTTGCTGTTTTCTTGGGCCTAAACCGGCGAGGAGTAAAGAGAGAAACAAGAGCAGATGAACACAATATGTAGCGCAAGTAGCTGGATACATCTTCTCTGAGAAGGGATTTTCTGAATCGGTTCTGTTTTGTGCAGTCTCAAACAATCAAACTAAGAGATTTATTATTCTAATAATCCATGTGCTGACAAGAACCTCTTATACAAGGAGAATCCAACACATCACTAAGGTCACAAAGGTTCAAAAAAGCTTCTTGAGCAAAACTACAACTCAAACTGTGATACAAAATTAGCCTCACGAGGACCAAAACTTCTCACAACTTTTGACTGCTTCATGGCTGAAGGGGGAGGAAAAGAAAACTTCCACACTTCCTACAGGCATACAAAGACATGCCTGTTCACCCACTTCTGTTCCCCTTTATAGCTCCCATGTGCTCAGCTTCAATTTAAGTATAAAGAACAAAAGCTACGAGTGTGTGCTTACCCTCATCAGATCGATGGGGGTTTTGACTGCCTCGGGCTCGGGTTCTGTCGGGTTCACAGTCAGAGGCTCCTGTCTGTTTCGCCCTTTACGTTTGGATTTCTTCTGGGTATCTTTGGTTAGATCCTGTGTATCTGAAAAAGCAAACATCCCGTAAAGCTGCAGAAACCACAGGTATCTGCTGTCTCAGTCTTTTTTTTGTAGTTTGTTGAGTAACCTTTTTCTTTTATCTCCCAATGACAGAGCAAAACTGTCTCTGACTGAGTGGTTTGAGCACTCAGTTTTTTTTTTCTATTTCACCAACCTGTTGATGATACAGACTCCTTGAGAAGGAAAAGACTCGTTGTGTCCGAGCTCTGTCTTTGAATCTTCTTCCATCTTTTAAGGAGCTCATCTATAAACAGCCCTTTTCTGCCATCAGTGCCTTGCAGGAGGTCACCCACGTATTCCTCAATCTCTTCGGCTTTTTCAATGGATAAAATGTACCTACACAGCAAAATGGATCACAAAAAGAACAAAAGTTCCTGCACAAAGATTTTATATGAATTTATTAATATCAATTAATATAATTAATATTAATGATTCAAATTTCTCTACAAGAGCAGCTCGTATGTTACATGTTTTAGAAATAAGAATATATTTATTTTTATTAAAAATTTCATATTTATTATTTTCACTGTCTGTTTTTATGGTCTTTAAAAAGATTTGCTATAAATGTGTATGAAAATTCCAGGTGGACATTTTACCCTTCATAAAAAATTCTTCACAGATTAAGAATATAACAATTTTGAATGATCAAGTATACTTTATCAAGCGAGGTGAGAATAACATCTTACGTTCAAAACAAGAAGAAATTGATATCCTAAAACCTCAAATACCTTACGAGTAACCAAAGAAAATGGCACAGCGAACAAATTTGGCTCTTGAGCTTTTGTTTGAAATTAAAGTTTAAATAAGATATAGTGAAAAGCAATATGTTTCAACAGTGGACGTAATAGAAATGAATTTGGAGCAGAGGTTTGAGACATTCATCATCCCATGGAGGTGCTTTCAGAAATCAGTACCTTCAAATATGCACAGAATTCAGTCCCCTTAACAAAAAGTCAAAATATACAAGATAAAGCATTGTTTGCTCCTTTCATGTGTCAGCATTTGCTAAAATATCTCTGCACTTACATCCCTTTTTCTGCTAAGTATTAATGGTGACTCATTTAAATCTGAATTTACAGCACTGCAGGAACTGATGACAAAGTGTGACAGTTTAAAATATGCATAAAGTTGTGTATTATTTGAGCCCAATATGTGCCAACCAGACAAAAATCCAATTTAGCAAGAGATAAGCCCGTCTTTAGTATTTTGAAACGAATAATACCTGCAATTCCCAAAGATTGCCGCATTTTTATTACTATAAAGGGTGACATGAGTCATCGGTTAACATTTATTTCTGAGGATGTTGCCAAGTTACTGGATGGAGACACGGGTTTAACGTTAGCTAACAGCTGGCTAAAATGAAAAAGACATTTGAAATATTTATAGATAGATAGTAACACCATAATCCCACACAGAAAGCTGTTTTAATTCAGGTGACATCAGAATAACAGCACTAAGCTAACTAGCTGTCGTCAACTCGCCTGATGACAACTCAGTTCAAACAGAAAACGTCTGACATTACTCACTGAACGATGTCTTCACACGCCTCCAAGCCAAACTTGTGGTGTAATTGGTCCACGCACCATTGCAACAAGGCCTCCGACATTTTACCTCCAAAAACCGCTTTTTACAAGCGAGCGAAAAAATGCCAATGAGTCGTGTCAAACTCAAACTACTAGTGTGAATGTGTTCCTAGTCGGAGGGATAACACAGTTGCACGCAGCAACATAGAATCACTTCCTGAAAGAAAAAGAAAATCTCGCCCTGGTTCAAAGGTTCCGGACAGTTATTGCAAGTTCAGGCACCGGAAAAGATAACGGTAAATACATGTTATTTAAGCAGTGGGAAAATCAGCTATACCTTTAACAAAACTGTTCTTTGTTCAACCGATCAGACTCTGCCATTAGTGTTGGTGTAATTTAATGTGGTTGTTTTGTTTGGCCACTAGAGGGCAGTTTTGTCATGGATGTGAGTAGATGCGCATTGGCTGATGTTTACACTTTTACAAAAATAAATATAGTTCGGATACAGCTCAGTTTCCCCCCCCATTGATATCCTGTGAAAAGCCATCCTATGTTTAGATGTGATAGATAGGTTGATGCCTTCGTGTTTCAGAATATATGTATTCCCCAATCTCTATTTATACATTTTCAAAATAAACCAAGAGAACAAACTGAATACTGGGACATTTGACTATTTCGCAAAAATACGTTGAATTGATTGACAGTATATCATATTATAGACAAAAAAAAGTCTGGATAGGTTTGTTGTGTAACAAATAAGCTTGCAACAAACTATTGGGTCAGGTCAGTTCAAATGGGTAAAAAAGACTGAGCCTTTGGGGTCTGTCTGTCTGTCTGTCTGTCTGTCTGTCTGTCTGTCTGTCTGTC